CACACACACACACACACACACACACACACACACACACACACACACAATACAAAAGACTCTCGTATTCATGTTGTTTGTGCACAGGGCGGGCGTGCGGCGTACTTGTGTGTTGCAGATGAACATTTGACCGGCATTTACGGGTAATTATCGGCAATAATAGGCGAAATAAAGTAGAGAAACATTAAGACTTTGGTAGTAAATACATTTCGTGTTTATTTACCTTCTTTTTTTTAATTGAGACGTTCCACGTGCCTGTGATTTTAAGTGACTGTGTATTGACCCCAGCCTACTATCACATATTTGTTCTTAGTTTGAGCATGTGACGCGCGTCTGTTACCAACAATGCATGACTGCGTCATAAAACTGCTACGCCATTATAAGGCACTAAACGTCGGGCATCGCTCGTCATCCGAGATGGAATAACCACCAAATTCGATTGTTAACAACCCTACGTGAAATTGATGCGTGAGATATACAAGCGCAGAAGTAGGTGAATAAACACCCTCCATGTGGAACAACCTCTCCCGTGAACTCACAGAACCCCATGAAGAGCATGTCATCAAAAGTTCATAATAGAACATTTTCTGTTATAGACTCTTGATATCATGGTACACCCGATAGCGTTTATTGATGTGCTCCTCGATAAATTAAACGGCTGTACATGCACTACATAGTTGATCGATGCGCGAGTTACGTTACACTTTCTAACGCATGCATGCTCTGTCATGCCACGCGTCATTCTCATGCCACAGGAAGCGCGCTCCATTGCGAGTTGGATGCTGCAACTATATAATCTGCATAAATTCGCCTAATTACACATCGTGTCATTAGTGCGCTGGCATTTCGCTTCACGGCCGAAACTCGTAAAATTAAAGTTAGAGCAGGTAGGCACAATGAAGCGAAAGCTCTTGCGGCGTCGTAGAATGACTGCGCGCACAGTGTTACCTCCGTGGTCCGTGAAGATCCGAATGTTATTCCGTAACGTTATGTATCGAAATGTTACGTGCGTTCCGTTGTTTACAAAGCGAATTGTTATCTACGTGGCCGCAAGCAGTGTGCACTCTGCGAATCACACTTTCAATCACGCGCCCTCATTAAAAATTTTGCGCTGGCAAGCTTGTTTGCCTTCTTCGAATAGATTTGAATTCATAATTAACCATCGAAACGCTCTGCGAGTTTGCTGCGTGCGTGCCTTCCTGTCAAGTATTTGTGTAAAGTCAGCAGTTTTAATTAAACAACATCGTTTCTGCTAGCGTCGATGTGGATTGTTGTGAATGCGTTAATGATTGAAATGAAATGTTGATGTCCGCTGCTGCATGCATAACATCAACATGCATGCGAGAAAGCGTGTGAGCGGTTTTGTTTTCGCGCGGTGCGATTCGGGGATCGCTCGTTCATCATCGCTACTGACGTATCCGCTAGTCAGCTTCTGGCAAACACGCGTGCAGTGTCTGATGTTTCGACGATTCGAGTTCAAAGTCGAACCTGTTGTCTGAATTTAACGTTCATCGGCCGTTGCCGCTGCCGCCGCCGCCGGACGCGCGCACACGTGCATAATTTAAAGCAATATACCCGCTGCGCACCTCAGCAGGTGTCGCGTCCGCCGCGGCATTGCTTAAAGATTTCTCCGCGTGTATTTGCCCGCATATACCCGTGAGCTAAACCGTCGAGCGGCGACGCCGTCGGTCGCCCCAGTGACGTCGACGTCGTCGTCGCCACCCGAGCACGCGCGGCTCGGCGACCGTTTACGATACCCGTAATTAAGTAATCGTCCTATGCGCGTCGCCATTTGTACGTCTACCGTCTCCTGCTCCGTGAGACTTCCCTCCCCC